TGTAGGTCACGGTGACCTACTTTTGACATTTTATGGCTATATTTAAGAATCTCCGGTACTTATTGGCTTAGAATCATCAAACTTTGTCAGTTGATGCATCTTGGGTTTTGGGAGAATGTCGACCAAAAAGTAGGTCACAGCGACCTACTTTCGACATTTTATGGCTATATTTAAGTATCTTAGGTATTTATTGGCTTAGAATAATCAAACTTTGTCAGTTGATGCATTTTGGGTTTTCCAAGAATGTAGACCAAGACGTAGTCCTAATTGGCTAAGAATCTTCAAACTTTGTCAGGTGATGCAACTTTGGTCTTAGGATACTTAGGGTTAGAGGCTTCGAATACAAGTGTTAGGATGTACAATTTATCAGAAGAGCGATTCAAGGCCCTTGGGCCTCTTGTTTAATTTAAAGATAATAGAAACTACTGAATTGACAAGAAGTAAAATCTGTGTTAAATACATTTGCAATTCAGAAAGACGAAATCAAATATCAATTAAGCTTTTACATGTACAGTTGAATTATTAGTACTTTACTTAAACATGTCAATGGTCAAAAGTTAAATTAGGCATTTTAGACCCATTTGTTAAATGTACATATTACACTAAGGGATTAAGATGGCAAACATTAAAATTAGAACCTTTTAAATCATTCTGCTGCCAAAACTTTCTTTAAATTTATAAAAGACAGATGGTCAAAGAAGGGAATGGCTCATTGTTTTATTGGTTAGAGACGTACACATGGAGAAGAGAAATGCTTCAAAGAATTTATTATAAGCAACTCTAAATGCTTTAAAATCAAATGCATGTGACAGTTTAGCATGTTGCTATTTTAAAATAATTCCAATTGTTTAGCACCTTATTGAAAATACAATTAATAATACATGTAGGAACAGGAAGAAAAGATGTTTTAAATTATATTGATATTTTGTACGTGTGTTTTTAATTATATTGATATTTTATACGTGTGTTTTTAATTATATTGATATTTTATACGTGGGATGTATCTTTTGAGTAAAGTTTCCTTGTTGTCCTTGTAAGTTCCCACTATTTGTTCAAGGCCAGAGTTTTCCTAGATTGACTAGAAATGTACAAGAAATTTTTATTTTGTTGTTTTAGTTGGTTAAAGGAAAAAACAATGGGATTTGGGACACCCGCCTCAATGTATTGTATAAGGAGAATTACAATGAAGAACCCCCCGCTAATCTTGTGTATTACATAGAGAACTGGCCCGATATAGTCAGGGTAGAGGCGTAAGTATTAAAAATACACACAGACACCAGACAAATACAGAACAGGCCAGATATAGTCAGGGTAGAGGCGTAAGTATTAAACATACACACAGACACACATGCAAACAAAAACAGAACTGGCCAGATATAGTCAGGGAAGAGGCTTAAGTATGAGTCCCACATACACACACAGACAGACATGCATACAAACAGTATGGACAGAACTGGCCAGATATAGTCAGGGTAGAGGCATAAGTGTAAATCCTACATAAACGCACACAGACAGACACAGAAACAAAAACACCCTTATAAATAACCACAGCTACAAACACAGATTTAAGCATACTCTATATATTGGCTCAAGTAGGAGATATTAGCACTGGCTAGTCATTGAAGTTATGACAAATATTGACAGCACTGTATATCATAACAAAACATACATTTCAAACAGTAATGTACAAAACAATAAGAATATGAATACTATGTCATATAACTATTATTATTGTCTGTGTCCATTTTAAACATCTTTATTTACACTTCACATCTAAACAGAAATCTTACTTATTTCTGTATTCCTTGAATTTCTACAGATGTTCACTAACAGGTAGAAACAGACTTTACCCTGTGACTGAGGGACAAGACAAAGGGGACCACGGGGGTCCCACGACCCTCCCCAGACCAATCATAGCACAGGCTGGAGGGGACGCACCGCCTGTAATAGAATCTACTCAGCCAGCAGTCAGTCAAAAGGTACAATAGTACAGATAGAGCTCAGTCAACAGTCTGTCTAAAGGTAGTTATTATACAATATTACAGATAGAGCACCTGCCCAACCAACAGTCAGTCAAAAGGTAGTTATACAATAGTACAGATAGAGCACCTGCCCAACCAACAGTCAGTCAAAAGGTAGTTATACAATAGTACAGATAAAGCACCTGCTCAACCAACAGTCAGTCCAAAGGTAGTTATACAATAGTACAGATAGAGCACCTGCTCAACCAACAGTCAGTCAAGAGGTAGGTGTACAATAGTACAGATAGTGCACCTGCCAACAGTCAGTCCAAAGGTAGTTATACAATAGTACAGATAGAGCACCTGCCAACAGTCAGTCAAAAGGTAGTTATACAATAGTACAGATAGAGCACCTGCTCAACCAACAGTCAGTCAAAAGGTAGTTATACAATAGTACAGATAGAGCACCTGCTCAACCAACAGTCAGTCAAGAGGTAGGTGTACAATAGTACAGATAGTGCACCTGCCAACAGTCAGTCCAAAGGTAGTTATACAATAGTACAGATAGAGCACCTGCCAACAGTCAGTCAAAAGGTAGTTATACAATAGTACAGACAGAGCACCTGCTCAACCAACAGTCAGTCAAAAGGTAGTTATACAATAGTACAGATAGAGCACCTGCTCAACCAACAGTCAGTCAAAAGGTAGTTATACAATAATACAGACAGAGCACCTGCTCAACCAACAGTCAGTCAAAAGGTAGTTATACAATAGTACAGATAGAGCACCTGCTCAACCAACAGTCAGTCAAAAGGTAGTTATACAATAGTACAGACAGAGCACCTGCTCAACCAACAGTCAGTCAAAAGGTAGTTATACAATAGTACAGACAGAGCACCTGCTCAACCAACAGTCAGTCCAAAGGTAGTTATACAATAGTACAGATAGAGCACCTGCTCAACCAACAGTCAGTCAAAAGGTAGTTATACAATAGTACAGATAGAGCACCTGCTCAACCAACAGTCAGTCAAGAGGTAGGTGTACAATAGTACAGATAGTGCACCTGCCAACAGTCAGTCCAAAGGTAGTTATACAATAGTACAGATAGAGCACCTGCTCAACCAACAGTCAGTCAAAAGGTAGTTATACAATAGTACAGACAGAGCACCTGCCAATAGTCAGTCCAAAGGTAGTTATACAATAGTACAGATAGAGCACCTGCTCAACCAACAGTCAGTCAAGAGGTAGGTGTACAATAGTACAGATAGTGCACCTGCCAATAGTCAGTCCAAAGGTAGTTATACAATAGTACAGATAGTGCACCTGCCAACAGTCAGTCAAAAGGTAGTTATACAATAGTACAGACAGAGCACCTGCTCAACCAACAGTCAGTCAAGAGGTAGGTGTACAATAGTACAGATAGAGCACCTGCCAACAGTCAGTTAAAAGGTAGTTATACAATAGTACAGATAGAGCACCTGCTCAACCAACAGTCAGTCCAAAGGTAGTTATACAATAGTACAGATAGAGCACCTGCCAACAGTCAGTTAAAAGGTAGTTATACAATAGTACAGATAGAGCACCTGCCAACAGTCAGTCAAAAGGTAGGTGTACAACAGTATAGATAGAGATCAATCAACAGTCAGTCAAAAGATAGCACCTGCTCCATCAACATTCAGTCCAAAAGGGGGTATCTGAAATACCGTATAAGCAGAAATTTAGCAAGGATTTAATTTTGACATTATTAGCGAGGGTTCTGAGGTCGCTAAAATTGAAAATTGCTAAAATTTGATTGAGTTTTATTTGTAAAAGGTTCTTAAGTGGGCATTTTAAATTTGCTAAAATTACATCTCACTAAAAATAAAATACCAGTTTTAAAGGACAAATCGCTAAATTTGTGTCTCGCTAAAATTTCCACTTGTATGGTAATTTTTATGCCCCCATAATTGAAGATGATATTGGAGATGGCTACATCATGCCAGCAAGGTTCAGTCAAACTTTTTAAGAGGCCACCCTAGAAAAGAATGGAAAATTGTTTTCAAAACAAGTGGCTTCTTATTATAAGATTATAAGAATTTCCTAAAGATTTTTTTTTTCCAAATTGATGGGAAAGTCTCTGACAGAAACAGACTTGATTAACTAAGTCTAAATAAAATACTGTTTATTTTAAAGATCAAAGAGTTAAAAGTACCAACTGGAGAAAATTTACCTATTGGGTAAGTACTTACAGACTACATTTGTGCCATGGTGATGCAACTTTTCTTGCTTGATGAAAGTTTCAATGGTCATATGTATACAAATACCTACATTTCCCTACCATAGTCACCCTATCATTAATTTTTACAGGGAGAAAGTGACTGTTTACATGACCTACCTGGGAGATGATGGGAGTTTCTGTGTTCAGCATGAAGACAGTGCCATATTTGAGATTACAGAAAAAATCGATATAGTGGCTAATGTAAGAACCTTCCACCATTATACAGTAAAAGCCTTTTCTAAGATCTGATCTCACATTTAAAAATAAAATTTATTTTTCTGAGAAAGAGAAACATGTTTTTGGGCTATTCTACAGTGTCCAGATCTGATCTGTCATTTGAAAAAAATGTATTTTTCTCAGAAAGAGAACCATATTTATTGGAATATTCTACAGGGACCAGTTCCTGATTTGGAGGATTTAGAGCCGGGGAGATTTATTGCTGCGTTGTATAACACAGGGACAGAGGAACTGTGGAGCAGGGCTGAAATAATCAGTAGGGAGGGGGTAAGAAACTAGACTAATATCTGGGATCACTTATAAAATTATGGTCACAATGTCTAAAGCATACTGGTGATGTTCCACATTTACAAATCTTTGGTAACGCAGATTTATTGGAATCAAAATTTTAAAATGGACATTTTAATACAACCTCTGAAAGATTATTTTTTAAAAAATAAAAATCAGAGAAATTACCTTTGCTATAGCTGCAGATCTTTGACTGGCTGGTCTGAAAAAAAGTTGATGGATGACCAGAGAGCTAGTCTAACCCATTCAAAGAAGTGGTGACTTCTTATTCATGTGGAAAAATGCAGTTTTTCTATGAATGTGCTTCTGATTAGCATTCCAGTTCAGAGTTTTTAACGCTGAAATAAATTTTATTTGCTACATTTACTTGATCCATTCAATTTAAGGTCAATGGGTCAGATGAGTTATAATTGTGTTTTCAGACAACAGTGGATGTTGTGTTTATTGACTACGGTAATAGAGCCACATGTAACCAGGAGGTCACCCGATTTCTGACGGAGGAGCTCGCCCAGTACCCTGTACAAGTCACCTTCTGTTTCCTCTATGGAGTAACCCCGTTAGAGGTGGGACATCCTTTATTTGTCTAAAGAGAAGATTAAGGTGAAAAATTATGCAGAAATACAGATATATAGGGAAGAGTAATTAACAAAATATCTCTTTTTCATACAAGGGTGAAGAGTCATGGTCCAAATCTTTTAAAGAGAGGTTTGCTGAGATAGTAACAGAGCAGAAACTGACTGCCATTACAAGAGAAATTTTAAGTATGTTCATGAATACATGAAAAGTTTAATTATTTTACATTTTCAAATTAAATTCCCCAGTATGAAAAGTAAACAGGTCAAGGTCACAATGGAATGAATTATAATTATCAGGTGATGCCACTCACACTGTTGACCTCTTTCTTTCTGACGATACGACGAGTATTAACGACAAGCTAGTCTCCGAGGGCATACTCAGAAAGATAACGGAAGAGGAGCAGGCAGAATCTCTCTGCGGAGAACCAGGTAAGCCATGATTGCAGTTCAGGGTCAAAAGGTCAAGGTCGGTCAATCTGAAATCTTTGTGAAGAAATCAGCACACTTTCTAATATGAATGAATATTTTGTGATTGTATTTTTAGAGGATCTGGAGTTACCTACAGACAATATGTGGGACGTGTATGTGTCTTACATCCTCACCGGTACCACCTCTGTCATGATACGACTGATCGGGGAAAACCACTCAGTAAGTACTCACTGCAAATACAGAGAAAATTTTTAATATCACAGCTAATATAGGGATGGATGGAGAAGTCAGTGTGTTTATGTTCATTAATAGAGAAAAAAAACAAACAATTTATCTAGTCAAGAAATTGGCAATGGTAAACATTAAAAGTTCAAGGCTAAGCTTTGATGTGATTTTGTCACTGTATTCTGATCTTATTGTAGTTTTGTTGCAGTGTTACTCTTTACTGATTTTGTTGCACAGTAAAACTCGGTTATAAAGAAGTCACTGGGACCTACAAAATTACTTCGCTATATCCGTAATTTGTTATATCCGTATAAGGAATTTGTGAGATTTATATAAATGGGGATCCAAGATAATTTTAGCTGTATCCGTGATTTTGCAATATCCCTCTTCATACTCAACGAGTTTTACTGTAGTTATGTTGTTGCGGTGTTAATCTATAACTGATCCTGTTGTAGGACAAACTGGAGGATCTAGAGAGGAGACTGGAGGACGCCTTCCACTCGGCGCCGGAGGATGTAGAGATAAATGAGGGGCAGGTTTGTGTGGCGTATTTAGACGAATTGTTCCATCGCGTCCGGGTCCTCAAGAAGGAGGAGAAAAAGGTTCACAACTTTACGTACGGTGTATCTTATCTCTGTTGTTAATGTCTGTACCCTCACATCTCTACTGATTCTTTCCTGTTGTTAATGTCTGTACCCTCACATCTCTACTGATTCTTTCCTGTTGTCTCATCAGACTTCATGTAATCAGAATAGATCAGAGTTGTTGCTGACGACCACATTTTTTTTGTAGTATGAGTGTTACTATTTGGACCATGGTGATGTGGATGGATTGATTCCTGACCAACTACGACCCCTTGATCCAAACATTAACAAGAATCTCCCCTACCAGGTATCAGGCACCACTAGGTTTTCTGTTCAGTATCAGGCACCACTTTGTCTCCCCTACCAGGTATCAGACACCCCTGTGTTTATTGTTGTCCCCCGCTTGAAAAGTGGGGGATATTAATTTGGGTCTGTCCGTCCGTCTTTCTGTCTGTCTGTAACGCTTTCGTTTCTTTCACAATGAAATTTTGCATAGCAACTCCCTATGGACTAAAGACGAACCCTGTTGATTTTGAGGTCAAAAGGTCAAAGGTCAAGGTCATAAATTAGCAAATTCTGTCTGTTATAGCACTTTCGTTTCCGCACGATATCTCGAGAACCCTTTGAGCTTTTGCAATGAAATTTTACATAACAACTCTCTATGGCCTAAGGAAGACCCCTATTGATTTTGAGGTCAAAAGGTCAAAGTTCAAGGTCATAAATTTATACATTCTGTCTGTGTGTAACACTATCCTTTCTGGGCGATATTTCAAGAAGTTTTTGAGATTTTGCAATGTAATTTTATACCAAAACTCCATAAGACCTCTCTCACCCATCTCAAAGTGTCCCGCCCCGTTTGTTAAGCGGTTAGCTAGCTAACCGCTTTATGGCATGGGCCTCCAAAAACCGGAAACTTCCATAAGGCGCTACCTATCGACATCGCTTTATGGCACATAACCTTATCCTTCTGCAACCAAAACCAGAAACTTCCACAAGGCGCCACCTATCGACAACGGTAACTTCAGCAAAGCGCTTCCTATGATTTGTATACTATTGGCGTAATACGCCCCCTGGTGAGAGATTGACAATAAGCTGTGTATGAAGAGTGGCTATTATAACGATTATATCGAATTCTTATTAGACTAGTATTTACCAATGCATTGACAATACTTAAAACACTAACTTCAAAGAACTGAGAATTTGGTCCTTATTACATATACATTGTGCGATTGCGATTTATAGCAACTGTTAGTTTATTTTTGAAAGTTGAACGATACGGTTAATTATACAGCAGGTTGAAGGTTATTACAGACTGCAAAAACATCAGCAAATCTCTCGATCGAGTTTGATTTTCCTTGCCAAAGTATTAAGAAACACCATTTATTAAGTTAAGTAATACCTGAAAAACGCTTTTATAAAAACACCGAATACATCTGTACGTTTTACACTTTTTGTAACGTTTTTATGGAAACAATAGGATTACCTCCACAATGAAACGTTTGTTTTCTTCTCTTTTCTTCTCTGTCTAATAAACAGATTATAAAAGCTCTGCTCCCAGGGGTAAATTCTCTACTCCGTCTTTGATAATTTAATTTATGACAAACGATCATAAGGGATCACTTACTTTTAGTTTTGAAAAAAATAATGGGGCACTTAAAGTAGTAAAATTAATTTTGAAAAAAAAATGGATAAATATATATTAATTTTAATCGGCATTGTGATTCTCTTCTAAAAATCAACCGATATAATTATTCACAGAAGAATAAGGTGTGAAAAATCTTGGCAATTAGCAAAAATTTAAAATATGTACTTAATGCTTATTTATAAGTTATGAAAATTTGATCAATTCCTAAGGAACGTATTATTAGCTGAGAAAATACTTTTTGAATTTGAATTTGTCTAATTTGTCGATTATTATTTTGAGCATTTAAGAAGAATGAAATTAAAATACAGGTGTTTAGAGGCACATTGATAGAAAAGAAATCACTGTATATTGTTTAACCGACATATTGAAGAAAGTGACACTGATAACTTCTTAAGTTACACTGACTTTTAGTGTACATTTGAATTTTTAAATACTAGTATTAATTGATTAGACAACTTTCCTTTTCACATGTTTTATTTGAGAACAATATTGCATGAAGAGTATATGGCAAATACACATTATATGTCCTTATCTAGACATATTGTGCAAGACTTCTTTTAAATGATTCTCATATACCATTTACTTTATTCGAACATTTACTTGTTTGAAAAGTCAATAAAGTACATTTAATAAAGCTTGATAATCTTGTTTACTCGCCAGTCTTCCCGTAGAAGTAGTAGTTCATAATATTACTAAACGGAAGTATTCAGTATCTGTATCAAAATACAGAATGATCAATGATCGATTTAAGATGAAAAGCTGACTCCTGAAAGTTCAAGAGATGAAATCCGTTGCCTAGAAGAAGTAAGCATCCCTCGTTGACAGGTTACACCCGCAGTGAGCCTACACATCTGGAGCTCTCTGATATCAATTCATTTATAAAGTCTCTGCTCAGCCATCCTTTTTTCTCTGACTAGCCAGCTGTAGATCTACACTACTCTAAATCCATTAATCTAAAGAATTTAACTTGTCATTTTTTTAGTTGTTTGCTATAGTCGGCTTTACAATTACCTAATTTCAGATTCAATAGAGCATGAAAGACAATTAAATTTTCAACATCAACATAATTGTTTTCATCCAAAGAACGATTGGATGCCACCAAGAGAGAACTTTTAAAAATGCACTTCCTGTCTTTCAAACTGAAGAAATCTCATGTTTAAATTTTGAAACATGCATTTCAATCTAATTAAAATTTATTTAAATGTTCCAAATCCGCTACCGCTTCTCAAACATCTAACATCCCATTCGGGGTCACATCAGAGCGACCTTTCGATTATGAATACATGTACTAGTAAACACAAACACTTTGGCCATGTAGATTCAAGACTCGGTAAACAATTCTCAAATTAATTCCACGGCTACATATCATCGTTATTGATACTGTCTTACGTTGAATTAAAGTAATTCTGGAATAAATTTCATGTATAGTCTGCAGTCTGGCATCTGAACGTGAATAATGCAAACGAAAGAGCACAAACTATACAAGATACCCCACACGTCATACATAACACAGCTTTTGCAATGCATATTTTGTTTACTACAAAACTCCTCGGGTGTTTTGGTTCGGTGGTGAAAACAAGAAACCCATCTGAACTATAAGCCAAGATTTCGGAGGAACCATTTTCTTTGGCTAATCGAAGATTCACTCTTACATGACCTCAAATAGGATGTTGTTAGATGTTTGAGAAGCAGTAGCGGATTCGGAACATCTAATTTTAATTAGATTGCATCCATCTGTGACATCAGTTTGGAATGTTATTGGTTTTACTATTAAGTAAAGTATTACAAAAACAGAATGTCTGGGTATTTTTTGTTCTCTGATGACATTGGACAAAGATATGCATACTTAAATATCATCATTTCATGCACTTTTTTCGGTACATATTAGATGAAAGCATGCTAACCGCTTTTCAGTACTTTCAGTACTTTGATTTTATTATTATTTACTGTATTACTATTACTATTACATGTCGCTATTTTTAGTACAGGGGCATGAGGAGAGTTATTACGTATAAAACAGGTTCTCGGCGGACTTTATATTCTTATTACATCTATTAGAACTGTTTAATATAGGTTAAATTAGACACCATGCATTGTGTAAAAATTTTGACAATATCGAACATGAAAATATACATGTATGTGACTTCATATTTGTATATAATTTTCGCTAGATGAAAGCGTTTCCATAGTGTAGTGGTATGTCTCTCGCTTCACTTGTGACGGGTTCCAGGTTCGAAACCCGGATGATGCATTTTCTTTTTTTTTCGAAATACTTTTTTTTACTAAATGATAGTATTCAGCATGTGAAATGAAAAATTTATGAGGTCTGGCTTGTACAAACTCATAAAATCATTATTACAGTGTGATAAATATTCCATATAAAAAGAATCTTCTATCCGACTGAAAAGAATAAGCCATCAAATCTTTATATCTATATTGGCATATTTTATTTGTTTCAGTATAGTCATGTTTACCTTTAATAATTCTACAAATTCAGTGAGGGGGATTCGACTCCCCCACCCGAACTGTGCATGGTTTACTTTTTCCCTAAGCGGGGGACACAAATTCTCTGATTTAGCTTGTTCATCATTAGAACTGAGGTGCTGGAGCACCGTAATGAAATAGTGGGACTTTTACTGCAGTATTGATTCTCTTGACAATACAAACTGCATTCAGAGTTCTCTGAGGAGACTGTAGCTCTAGTGATTCCGACTAAAATAGTCTTAAAAATTTTTTTTTGAATTTCTGTAAAAAGTATAAAACGTTTATTGTCAGCCAAAAAAAAAAAAAAGGAGGAGCATGGCGAAAGAATTTTAGAAGAGCTACTATAGGATAACCAATTTTCCAGGGGGGGTATATTTTTGTTGCATTCATAGTATGAAGAGACCCATGAATTCGTCCTCAGTGAAATTTCCTATGTTTAGCAGCTCCACAATTTGTCAACCACAAAATTCATACCCCAAAATAGACCTCTTTTCCTCAAACCATGAAAAATGAAGCCCAAGTCAATATGTAAATTTTTACAGTATTTTGAATTCTGATATGTATTGTCTCCTTTATAGCACACACAGAATTTGATCTATGTATTTATCAGTTGAAAACTCTAAGGTTGTATTTTTGCGTAACTCTTAACCATGAAAAAAGTACCGTATAAGTGGAAAGTTTAGCGAGACGCAAATTTAGCGATTTGTCCTGAAAAACTGGTAATTTATTTTTAGCAAGATGTTATTTTAGCGATTTTAAAATGCACGATAAGTTACACTAAATACTATGCACTTAATATTTAACGATATTCAATTTTAGTGATATCGGCACCCTCGCTAATAATGCCAAAATTAAATCCTCGCTAAAATTCTACTTATACGGTAATAATGACATGCATTTACCCAAGCAAATTGTCTGACTCTTGATCTTGGACCAGTTGAAGTTCACATAATGCTTGTTGATTTTTTTAAAAGTGATTAAATCTGAAATAAAGATTGTTTTACTTTCACTATTTCTTTTTTAGTTATTACTCATACACAATAAATGGTTTTATTTATTGCAGGCCTTTGAGGTATCATTAAATGGTCTAGAGGCCTATGCAGGGAATGTAATTGTTCTAGAGAAATTGTGTGATATGGCGCTAGGTAAAACTCTGGTGGCAGAGGTCACAGCAAGGTGAGAAAGGTTGTTAGTATACCTGTAAAATAAGTAAAGATTCAGGTGATATTAGGTCATTAGTTACCTATAAAATAAGTAAAGATTCAGGTGATATTAGGTCATTAGTTACCTGTAAAATAAGTAAAGATTCAGGTGATATTAGGTCATTAGTTACCTGTAAAATAAGTAAAGATTCAGGTGAGATTAGGTCATAAGTTACATGTTAAATAAGTAAAGATTCAGGTAAATTGATTGCTGATAAGCTGCAGAAAGATAGCATACTGGTTGAACTTTAAGGTATAATTTTTTTTACAGAGATGGGATTTTTTCTGTTGTATTGTATGACACAGAAGGCGACTCAGACATAAATATTAATCAAGAAATCCTCAAAGCTGTGCAGTTGGAAGCGGAAACATCTTTGCTAGCAGCCGCTGGAAGTAACCCTCAGTCTACAGAGTCATCGCCCCTTCCTCAGCGTAGAATCACTGAATTATCGACCCAGCCAATCACAACCTCTGACTTATCTACCCAGCCAATCACAACCTCTGACTTATCTACCCAGTCAATCACAACCTCTGACTTATCTACCCAGCCAATCACAACCTCTGACTTATCTACCCAGCCAATCACAACCTCTGACTTATCTACCCAGTCAATCACAACCTCTGATTTATCTACCCAGCCAATCACAAGCCCACAATCCCTCTCTCCCACAAGACAACCACAGAACTCTGCAAATAGTGATGCTCAATCAACATCCGTACAAGTCCCCAAAGGTAAAAAAAAATGTAATATAGTGGTATTCTTTTCCTTAGAATGCTGCATGTGTATAACCTTCAAAAAGTCTGTTTGCTATTTTTGGGGCTTCTGCACGGACAGCAATGTGCTCACTTGCTGTGAATACTGTCAATAAATCATACAGGAATATAAACATGGTGTGGACATGTGATGCACTAATTCATGAAGCAGTGATAGTGCTAAATTTTTATTTTGTCAATAGTAAATTTGTTTATACAATTAAAATACTGCTTTTTAGCTCACCTTGGTGAAGTCCAGATGAGCTTATGTAAGCCTTTCAACTGCCGCTAGGGGTCAGTTTTATGAACGATAACTCACTGTTGAAACATGTTGAGAGTAGGCTTGGGGTATCTAAATGTTTACATGCAAGGCAGTTTTTAGCATTTCCCAAGTGTTTCTTTGCTCTCAGTAGAATCCAGTGGTTTTAAAATGTAGCACCAATGTTATACTTATTTACTGTATAGTTGCGGACACCATTTCACTTCATATAATTAAAAGTTTTAATTAAAATAAAAAGTGAAATCTACCCTCCTTCTTAGTACTAACCTAATTAAATTTTTATACTCGGTCGTTCCCCTTCGTGCTTAGTAATACAAGTAAGATGATCAATTGCTGCATTTACTTGTAAAAATATATATATTTATATAGGAAGCAAAAAAGCGCGAAAACAAAAAACATGGCATGAAATTTTCTTCTTCATAATAATCTTCAAAGAGAGTTAAAAATATTGAATATAGTCTGTTCCCCATCTATTTGACCCTGTTATTTCAGGTAGAGTGAAGGCATTCTCTTTCTCATGGTCAACACTTTTGTGTACAAAACAATGTAAGGAACCCTTTTGTGTACATAACAATACCAATGCTGAAGCAGGCTATATGTCATTCCTAAAAACGATAACTCATAAATGGGCACTAAGTTGGTCATTTTTCACACCTGAGTTACCTATCCTTAAAATACAACGTCGGAAAAGTCAATTATAAATAATTAAACTTTTTTATGATGTTATTAAATGTATTCATAAGTTATTATCTTTTTTGATAATTTCATGTACCTATACATCTATCTATGCAATGTTTTTTACCATATGTGCAACTTGAAAAATTAGTTGAAAGGCCTAGCTTATGCTATAACCCTGGTCTCAGCGTTAGTATTGGTTCCCTGATTTAAGTTTAAGAAGCAAGTTCATTCCCAAGTAACTTTAACTATAAGCCCTATCTGGACCAAACTTGCATGGATGATACATCTAGGGATAGACACTACCAGACTTTCTTCGGATGCTGGATACATTTTCCAGATGAGTGTCCAGGTTAAAGTTTTTGGAGCAGTCCATTCCCAAGTAACTATAAGCCCCATTTAGACCAAACTTGCATGGTCAGTGCACAAAGAAATGGACACTACCAGACTTGCTTCAGATGCTGGATCTGATCTACATTTTCCATATGAGTGACCATGATGTTATTTTTGGAGTAATTCTATAATTATATGGCTGGTTATGATTAAACTTTCATTGATGATGCATATAAGAATGGAGGCTTCTAGTCTTGATTTAGTTGTTGAAACGGACAGAAAATTTGATAAATGAACAGGTTAAAGTGTTTGGAGAAAGTCCATTTCCAAATAATTGCAAGTCTTAATTTAAACCAAACTTACATGGATTATTAATCTCAGGATGCACAAATACTGAAAAAAGAGTGATGTGAGATTTGCAGAGAACTCAAAGATAACATTCAATGAGGTGAGCTTTGTAATTTTTGATTACCTATGTTTCTATTTTTCAACTGAATATTCGTTTGATACAGAGTCCCAGCCCACGAAGAAGAGTTCAAGAGAGGGAAAAGAAAGAGGAGGCACAGAGTCCTGGGAATCGGAGAGTGGGGAGGGATCCTGGGAAACAGAAGAAGAAGAGGTTGTAGAGGGAGCCGTGGCCAGGAAACCCATGTCAGCTGGTGCCGTACCAAAACTCGCGTCAGCTGGTGCAGTACTGAAATCCACGTCAGCTGGTGCCATACCAAAGTCAGCTGGTGCCATACTGAAATCCACGCCAACTAAAACTTCACCAAAAAAAGATGCTCACAATGTTACAGAAAAAAGTGCAAACAGTAGCGTTACTTCACCAGTGAAAAAATTGACAGAGGGATTATCTAGTCTTACTACACTAGATTCTGTGATATCAGGCACTCCCCCGGGGGTGAGAGCAGATGGTGTGCCCAAGGACCAGGGGGGACAAAATATATACACATGGAGGAGAAATTCCTCGGAACTTTCTTGTGAGGCCTTGGAGGATATCAATTCTTACAATAAAAGACCAGTGCCAAAAACTTTCACAATACCCCCTAAGGGGGAATATTGTGATTTACATATTATCAATATTTTTGACCCTACAAACTTTGTGGTAAGTGACTGGCTATAGTTTTAGCCACTAAGAAGTGGTTCCTTTGTTCTTTCTGGTATAAATATGAATTTTGAACAGGCTTATAGCAAAATGCCAGATACAAACGATTTCATTTTGTTATAGATATAAATTATCGTGTCTATTTAGTTTTTAATGTTTTTTTTTTTTAAAAACCATGGGAATCAAAAATTTTTTTTGCTGTATTAAGTATGCGTTCTTTATAAGTGTGTTTTCTGAAACCAGGTTTTACTGTATATGTAAGACTTGCAGACAAAATTTCATATAACAAACAAAATTATATTTTTGTGGCATTCAATTTTAATTCAGATTTCATCTTTGTAATAATTTTCCACAGTGCATACCTTTCCAACACATGGCTGAGTCGGAGAAATTGCTGAAAGAAATGATGGAATATTTCAACTCCAATCAAAGTCTAGTAAGTTATACGCAACAACAAAAAAAGTACTGTAGAAGCACAAATTTTCATGGGGATAAAATTTCTTATTATTGGATTTGTCATCTAAGGTAGTTTTGTGGGCATTTAATTTCATTGTTTTGAAAGTAACTCTATTCAATATATATAGTAATGTAAATTTTCGTGTGGGATTTAATTTTGCTGATAATTTTTAACAATGAAATAAACGAAATTTAATCCCTCACAAATATATGTGCATTTACAATATCTTAAGAGAAAACACATTTAACAAATCTGTTTATTTGCTACCATGCACAACAGGTCAAGTTTTATATGTCTTGTCGAAGTCCAACAGTCTATTTAGGACTTTTGAGCAGAATCTTAAATTAAGTTCTATCAATATTGAATTGAAAACAACATAAATATTTATCAAATAAATTTTAGACCTATATATATATTGATATACATGTTTATAACTGTATGATTTCACAGACTTTAAAGAATTCGGACCTGATGGAAGGACAGATGTATGCTGGAAATAAAGATGGTATGTGGTACCGGGTAATAATCAAAAGCAAGATCACGTCCAGAAACATGGTGAGTATAGTGAATAGAAAATATTACTTCTATGTATTTTACAGGTAAATGATTTCTGGAGACAAGTTAAAGGTCCTAGACATTGAACCTACATAAACTGCATCACAAGATGGTTATACCATAGACATGTACTATTTATTAAATTTGTCATAATTTTAACTAGAAGGGGTCCTGTCCCTATTGCACCAACTTGTGAATTTTTTTTTTTTTTACATTTTACACGAAGAATTAATGGATAATTGTAAAATATATATTTCCGAAGAAAAAATTAACTGTTTAACATCAATGCTCATTACCTTTATGGATAAATTTTTAATATTTGCTAGGTATGAACTGTGTATTGTGTGATAATTGTGATGAATTTCATGCCTTTGCAGGCCTCAGTATATCTTGTTGACTGGGGGGAGTTCACTCTCCTGAATTTAGAGGAGATAAAACCTCTACCTATCTGCTTCACAAAGCTCCCACAACTAGCATTCAAAGGAAAACTTTACGGTAAGTTACTTTTAGAAGTTAATAACCACTTTCTAGTTTGTTAGGTATGCCAGGACATCAACAATAGTTGGAAACGTGGGATAATTTACATAATGGGCAAAGCTGGTTATGCATAAATTATCCCACTTTTCCAACTGTCGTTGATGTCCCTGGCATACTCTGCTGACTAGACAATGACTCTTTATATTTATATGTGAAATAAAATTTGACATATAAATTACAAAAATGCTGTCTCTGGATTTAAAATACACAAAGTAGACAGTCTTGCCAAGTTACATGCCTAAGTTCTCATTATTAAAAATAATAGTTCATTTGATAGAAAACAAAGAAGTTTACACCTATGTAGTTTCTCTGTTGGTTCTTACAATGTACAGATAACTTTTTCAGGAGTGAAGCCAGCCAAGGACTCGTACATGTGGAGTGAAGCCGCCAAGTACAAGTTTATCCAGATGGCTCACGATCGCAGCTTGGTGGCACTGATTTGTGGGAGTGAGCAGGTGGGGGGACAAGAGGTGGTGTCCCTGAGACTGATGGATACCTCTGACCCAGATAGGGATGTCTGTCTGGACGAGGAACTGCTAGAGATGGGGGTGGCCGAAAAAGTCAGATAGGGATGTCTGTCTGGATGAGGAACTCCCTGAAGTAGGGGTGGCCAAAAAAGTCAGGTTTTCTTTATGATCTACGGAGTTGGTCCTTGAATTGAGCTGTTCAATTATTAAAGTACATATTAAGCATCTATACAATCAGCCATAAACTTTGCATTTTTACATTCAAATGACTTTTACACTGTGTGTATGTTTAAAATATGTATAGTCTATCCAAATTGCTTTAAATTCAATGAAAACCTGTCAAATAGTGTTAAAACGCAGGACTTGATGCATTCTAGTGCCATGTATTTCATAACATCATTTATGTTTTAAATTAAAGAAACATTGATCACAAGAATGATAAATTTTAGGTTCACACACCACTTGTACTAATGGTGTGTGTGTGTATGTGTGCTGGAAGTTACATTACCATTACTTTAATACTATGTGCAGTGAATGGTGAATATATTTTGCCTTTTTAAACATAACTTACTGGTTTATCTCAGGCTTGTGAAGTGGAGTGTTTTATTAAAGTGAAAACTGCTCCTGAAATCATAGCAGATTAAATAATAAATATGTAGATATGTATACATACCTTGTATAGCTTGATGTTGATATATAACAAATGGAAAGTTGGCAACTACATACATAATATTAATTCTCATTAACAATGCACATGTAGTTGCTCAAAAATTTGTTATTTTATGATTTTCATATCGGACTTCAGCTTGCATCATTAATGGCATTTCTTTTGCAGTACTGTTAAATATTTGTTGATGAAATAAAATGTTTAAACTTGAAAAAGATTAGATTTCTATGTATCCAGTACTTGTAAGCTCTTTTGTGCCATTGACTCGAAAGAGCTAATGTTATGGCTATTTTTGAGGAATGCATCATCTTTTTGGATAGTGGGCTACAAGTTCTTGTCAAATTGTTACAGGGTATCAATGACCCAAGGCTTTTTGTATTGAATAATATGGATGGTCTCAAGGTCACTTTGAGGTTTAATTGAATTGTGATAAATCTTTTTGAACTATGCTTAGGAATATTCCCAAGAAAAGCAAAGTGATGATCAATCATTAATCAAGATTGATCATTATTAATGATTATCATTAATCAAAGTTAGTAATTAAGAAGTCCCAGGAAGGGTAGATTTAAATTTGTTCAAATTATGACCTCTAAGGATAGGGTGACACCATGCACACCACGTCAAGTTTTACTTGAAAATGTATAGGAATTTTTTTTTTAAATCACCCTCGTAAGAACAGCAAAGACAACGTTAGAACCAGCGCTATTACGACAACTGGGTATACCGCCATCTGCAACCGGAGTTAATTTTCTATACTTGCGAACATAATTAAATCATTATGAACTGCTTTTTTGAAAATTTTATTTTTCTGTTAAAATGTGTATTGTGATAAATTTGTATGTATAACAAACCTATATGATCAATTAGACTAAAATAAAGCAGAAGAAAGACTTCTATATATTATCCAATATACAGTTTTATATTAGAAATCAGGACGACAATAATGTAATTTTGATTCAATCGAAGCTTACAAATAAATCTTCCAAAGCAAATATGAATGACAAAAGTTTATTAGCGTTATTTTTTTCTGTCATTTAAATAATTATTTGCAATTTTGCAACAAAAAAATCTGACATCAAAGTTGCAACTCATATTGCTTTAAATGCCGAAATCGCAATTTAACAATAAGATAAGATAAGATAAGATAAGATTTATTAATACCAATTTGGGGCCCATCAGGGCATACAAGTAATAAGGAAAAAGAAAACATACAAGCAGAAATTCAAAATTGATAGCAGTAACTAACAAAAGATAAATGATGTTACAGCAGTTGGGGATTACAACATACATAATCAATATACTGTAAATAAAAGTTTGTTTAAAGTATTTCTATATATTACTCTTTTGTATTTATTTGTTTCTTTGTTTAACATTGCATAATTTGCTATTTCTTATTTTAAAGATATTGATTAAAAAATTACCCAGCTTGATAAGCAACATGTCATCTTCATTAGACATAATCCATAAAAATTTTTCTTTATTTGTTAAAGTATAGAAATTTTTATTACTTTTAGCAATAATATTAAAAAAGTCATCTCTATCATGCTTATATAATGGACATTCAATCAGTGAGTGTATCTCATCTTCCACACAGTTCATGTCGCACATTCTACAAATTCTTTCATTTCTTGCAAGTGTGGTTTGCTCTCCAGCAGAGTTTAGTTTTTTTT